CGCTACTCTTGTGCTTTCCATTGGTGAGACTGTTGAAGAAGTCAGTGACAGTGGATTTCTTGACACCACTCCCTCCCTTGCTGTTTCTTTGATAGGAGATGATTCTCTCATGCAGGTTCACCCAAATGGAATTAGGCATATTAGGGAGGATGGGCGTATTAATGAATGGAGAACACCTGGAAAGAGGACGATTTCAAAAGTTGGGTCAAATAGACTTCAAGTGGTTATTGCACTCAGTGGAGGAGAGCTTATATATTTTGAAGTAGATGTAACTGGTCAATTGATGGAGGTGGAGAAGCATGAAATGTCTGGAGATGTGGCTTGTTTAGACATTGCTCCAGTGCCAGAAGGCAGACAAAGATCTCGATTTCTTGCAGTTGGCTCATATGACAAGACCATCCGCATCTTATCACTGGATCCTGATGATTGTATGCAGGCTCTAAGTGTTCAGAGTGTTTCTTCAGCTCCAGAATCTCTACTTTTTCTTGAAGTTCAAGCTTCTGTTGGTGGTGAGGATGGTGCAGATCATCCTGCTAGCCTTTTCTTGAACGCTGGGTTACAGAATGGTGTGTTGTTTAGAACTGTGGTGGATATGGTTACAGGTCAGCTTTCTGATTCTCGCTCCCGGTTCTTAGGATTGAGAGCCCCAAAGTTGTTTCCCATCATAGTGAGAGGCAAGCGTGCTATGCTTTGTTTGTCTAGTCGACCTTGGCTTGGTTACATTCACCAAGGACATTTCCTTTTAACACCTCTTTCATATGAAACCCTTGAATATGCTGCCTCATTTTCATCTGATCAGTGTGTGGAAGGTGTAGTTGCTGTTGCTGGTGAGGCCTTGAGAATTTTTACTATTGAAAGATTGGGAGAAACATTTAATGAAACTGTAATTCCATTAAGGTACACACCCAGAAAATTTGTGCTGCAACCCAAAAGAAAACTTCTGGTGATGATCGAGAGTGATCAAGGAGCATTAACTGCAGAAGAGCGTGAAGCTGCTAGGAAAGAGTGTTTTGAGGCTGCTCAAGCTGGGGAGAATGGTACTGGAAGTGCGGACCAAATGGAGAATGGTGGTGATGATGAAGATAAAGATGATCCCCTCTCAGATGAGCACTATGGTTATCCAAAAGCTGAATCAGATAAATGGGTTTCCTGCATAAGAATTCTTGATCCAAGGACAGGAAATACAACTTGTCTTTTGGAGCTTCAGGAGAATGAGGCTGCTTTCAGCATATGCACAGTAAATTTCCATGATAAGGAATATGGAACCCTTTTAGCTGTTGGCACGGCAAAGGGGCTGCAATTTTTGCCGAAAAGGAGTGTAACTGCTGGATTTATTCATATTTATAGGTTTGTTGAGGATGGAAGATCTCTTGAACTTCTTCACAAAACACAGGTCGAAGGCGTTCCTCTTGCTCTATGTCAGTTTCAAGGAAGATTACTTGCGGGGATAGGACCAGTGCTCAGGCTATATGACTTGGGAAAAAGACGATTGTTAAGAAAATGTGAGAATAAGCTATTCCCCAACACAATTGTCTCTATTCAGGCATATCGTGATCGGATTTATGTTGGTGATGTCCAAGAGGTATGTTTCTAAAAATCCATATGGTACCTGTCGAATATCCACGTTTCTGACTTGAGCACTCTAGTAATGAGTTTGTCTTTTTGTTTGTCATGACTTCTGATTATTTTACTCGCATTTGATTGATATCACAGCGGATTCTGACATTAATCTGTCTGTGATGGCAAATTTAATGTTCTAGTTTCACTGATGTTTTTATACGAAGCTTCAGTGGGTATTATTCAGTTTTGGAAAGACTTGACTACAGCTTCTCTGTTGTGAATTTCTATTCTCTTAATTTTGCAAATAGACTGCCCATGCTTATTCTCAGATTCAATGTCATGCCGCACATCACGTTTTGATTCATTGAATAAAATCTTCAGTTAATATTTTCTTTGCTTTCTTCTCTCCAGTCTTTCCATTACTGCAAGTATAGGCGGGATGAAAACCAACTTTACATATTTGCTGATGATTGTGTTCCAAGGTGGCTTACTGCATCGTACCACATAGATTTTGACACGATGGCAGGTGCAGACAAGTTTGGAAATATCTATTTTGTGCGGTTGCCACAGGATGTTTCAGATGAGATAGAAGAAGATCCTACTGGTGGTAGGATCAAGTGGGAGCAGGGAAAGCTGAATGGAGCCCCAAATAAGGTTGAAGAAATTGTACAGTTTCATGTTGGTGATGTGGTCACATGCTTGCAAAAGGCTTCTCTTATACCAGGTGGTGGAGAGTGCATTGTATTTGGAACAGTTATGGGAAGTGTTGGGGCACTACATGCCTTTACTTCACGAGATGATGTTGATTTCTTTTCTCATTTGGAGATGCATATGAGGCAGGATCACCCACCTTTGTGCGGAAGAGACCACATGGCTTATAGATCTGCCTATTTTCCTGTTAAGGTATACTTAATCAATATTATGCTGTTTGTCATTTGTATGATATTGTTGGAAAGCGATAGAGAGCATCCTCCCTGTTATATTTTCGTTGCTGCTCCTTCCTGACAAAGAGCCTTTCCTCTTCAGTCACTAATAAACATGTGCACACCAAAATTTTTAATTTGTTTATTGTTTTTTTTTTTTTCTTTTTCTGTGGCATTAAATTTTGACAAATTTCTGATAGTTCTGGTTTATTGTGTAGGATGTTATTGATGGGGATCTATGCGAGCAATTCCCAACATTGCCAATGGATTTGCAGAGAAAAATTGCTGATGAATTGGACAGAACCCCTGGAGAGATACTGAAAAAACTTGAGGAAGTTAGAAATAAGATTATTTAAGAAATGGTTGTATGAAAGGTATGATTCCCTATTTCTGTTTATTTGGATCTGACTGTTTCTACTGTTAAAGTGTATCTATTAGCAGTACTTGTGATGTAATTTTATGTGAGATGGATAATTCCAACATCGCGTCCACTCTCAACATGAGGATTTGTCCCCCTTGCCATCTTCATGCAGATCTTATACTTTAGATATCCTTAAAAGAGATGAGATATTACTGCTACACAACTTTACAAGAAGCTAACTTCTTTAAGTTTGGTAAAACCCTCCAACCCCTCATCTTGACCACTCCTTTTGAAGGATAGTCTTGGCTGAAGATTGTTTTCTTAGTTTCCATTGAATAAAAAATATAAAGGGAATTTTCTTTAGTTGTCCAAGATTTGTGGTCTGATATTTCCATGGCAGTTGCTAAACAGGGTAAAATCAAAGAGGTCGTTTACCTTTTTCTCCACTTTAGAGATTTTGGTCTTCAATTCTGTGGTGGCTCAGGAGATATAGAAACCCGCACTTAGTTGAAGTTGTTTGATTAGCTGACAAATTTTTATAAGAGGGAAGATAGAGGGCATCATATTTTGTTATTTAGATTATAAACTGCTGCTTAAATAGACCACGACTCTTCGAATTAAGCTGCTTGCATCTGTTGCCATGTAGGTCCTGAGATGATGACAAGGATTATTAATCTTGATTAAATTTTAGTTGCTCTACTGTTACTGAGAATTTTGATTTGATGAATGTCTTGTACTGTGTTTTGGTGTTGCGAGCAGGTCATAGTGGAAATGTGTTTTACTAGTTGGTCATTTACCCGCCGCAGCTAGGTCAAATACTAACAAAGTGAAGTTTGTGTATCTCATTAATACCCAACGGTGATTTCTTGTCCTATTTAATTCAAGGGGGATGAAGGGACCTGACGATAACTCTACTCTGTATTGGAGTCAAAACCCGCAAGCCTCAGTTGGCAATTTATGTTGTAATTAGTCGTAGTTAACTGTTATCACGCTTTGTGGATGTGATAACGTGCCACATCTCTTTCTGTCTACAACTCAGTATCCTATCTTGTACTCAATGAGATGTTTGATTTAACTGGATTTGAAATTTAATGTAGAATATTACCGGATTATCATTTCAACGAATTGTTGGTTCTAGTTTTAGTTGTAGTGATTTATAATAGAGAGCAGTTTTGGAAAAATTGAATAACATTACATTTTATGTACCTATCAAAATACATCATCTAACAGTGTGCATGAAAGATACGATTGAAGAGAAATATTTATTTTATTTTATTGTTGTGCAAATTAGTGGTAACTGGTCGATCATTTGGGGTTTTGGTGTTGAATTTTGTGGTACCTGCTTTTTCCACGGTTTGTTGTTGGCTATGATTATTTTTAAAATGAATCTCGAAGCACACTGTCCTTTTCAGATTAGCTATGTGATCTTTTATATTCTGATAATTGAGGCTGCGGAGATTAAATTACTATGGTGAATATTTTTTATTATATGCAAATTTTCAGTTTTAATCTTGTATTTATTTTAAAAATATTTAAATAAATGGTAAGATACATTATAAATATAATAATATTGTTTAAAATGTCAAAGTAATTCCGTTTGTATGTTGTTCAATATTTCAAGTTTATAAATTATTTTTTCAAGTAGTTTTGCTTGGAATTATTTTAAACATAAGTTTAATTCAAAGTGGCTACTCAGTATGAATACTTAATGTACATACGATAATTGAAAGAATTTTGGTATGGTATGGGACTGTTATGGTCACAAATGTATGTATATAAATTACAAACTTGGTTACATGTCGCAGAAATTGATTAGGACAATAGGTATGTGGTAAATTTGAATTATTCAGTAGTTATCCTTATCACAGCTTGTGTATATACTTTGTATAATGACAATTGAAATAGGAAAGTGAGCCATGTGATCCTTTATAAATTAAATTCAACTGTACACGGGCGTCAATGGGTATAGAAAATAATACATAAAATCATTTCTTCAGAACTCACTTTAAACCAAATTGGGTTTGAGGACATACACGACATTGTATAACAACAACCCCCTTCCTCCAACAATTCCACTCACCATGTTATGTTGTGCACTCTAGTCCTTTTATTGCCTCACTTTTCCAAACACCAACAACTTCAATAAAAACAATAGGCTAAAGATCAGACTTAACCTTATGTTCATATTCTTGTTTCAGCTCTTTCTCCAATCTCGTGTTTCCAAAGTTTGATTTCTTGTCTATCCAAGCAATAATATCCGCGAATACAATCTGCAAGTTTTCTGGTGGCTCTCCATATAACAGACCATGCCACATATCTGGGTACATCTTTAGTGTCTTGTCTGTGCTTGCTGCCACATCATATAGTTGTTTGCTAATTGCTTTATCAGTGACTTGATCTTCCTCTCCATGTAAAATCAGAAAAGGAAGTGAAACCTAACCAGAATGGAGAGACATTGGTCACCAACTTTTTTGCATTAATTAAATTTAACAATTTTTTGCCATCATGCAAGGACAGTTCGACAAACCTCAGGCAGTTTTCCCTCTATATCTCTACTGACCCTTAGAAGTTCATAGGCTGTTCTCAACCGAGGCTTTCCTTTGTAGCAATACTTGTTCGCTCTAATCTGCAATACAAGAACAACAGATCCAAATTGGGATTTTGGTTTTTTAATAATTCTTCCAAAAGTTGATTAGGGTGTGGGAAAAAGTGTGATGAAATACCTTTTGTCTGACTTCTGGCACTTTAAAGGCGACATCAGTGATGTCTGGTCCGGGGACTAGTCTCCAAGACGGAGCAACTTTGCTCAGTGCACTCAATACCCTAATTACTATTGAGTTTGGTTTCAATTCTTCTGCAATCTGCACAAAATTATCAACAAATACCAACTTCAATTTTCAATACGCTTCTCCGTCACGTCGATGCAACAACAAATTCACGTTGTTTCCTGTTTGCTATTAATGACATTTCTTCCATTACTCAAATCATTTTCTTATTTTATCTTCATTAAGAAAATGATTTGCGTATTTGAAGAAAGTAACTAGACACACACATGTTTATTTATTTATTGTTGCAATTAACACCAAATGAGGATATCCCATTATATATAAACCCATATATTGATATACATTACATATTATTATCGATATAATAAAAAAATCACATAAAATGAAAAATAATATATATATATATATATTTTTTAATACATTCAAAATTAATTTTAATATAGATATTAAATTTTAATGTATTAAAATAATTAAGTTGTGGTTATTCTTGATTGGGTTTTAAATTTTCAAAATTCGGGTTTATTTTAAAAGTAAAAATGTCTTAACAAGTCACTTTCTGGAGGCAGTGTATTCTAGATGTTACGCAATATTAGAATAATTAACAACGGTTTAGCGTAAAAAATTAATGGATTGTGCGTTACTAAAGGACCATTCAACGGATCTAAAAAGTCAAAGACCTTCGATGTCAAATATTAGAATCGGTCAAACGGATCCACTCAGTTATTTATTTTGCTTTAACGAAAATTTGCAGGGTACTGAAGAATTTTCTCAAGTGAATTATGATGAACTATTAATGGAAAACGTGGATGATGATTGAACTCAATGAATAATTTGAGTATTAAATATAGCAGCAAAAAGAACAGTAATTAAAATATGAATCGCATGTATCATGAATTTGACAGAAAAGAATAGAACCTTGCACATGGGTGCAACCAAAATTGCCCCATCCCAGTATTCTGGTTTTTTCCTATGCAAAAGAAGTGCCACTGCTCCTCCCATGGATTCCCCCATCAAGAACCTCATCTTGTTCTTGTTCTCTGCCTTTTCTGCAGTTTCAATCATTCATACAAAAAGACAATTTCATTCTCTACGAAAGAGACAAATTGTTGGAAAATGTGTCCGACAAAACATCCTCAGTGGCAGACAACAAATTGAAAGAGAGAGAAGATGATGCTAACCACAAATTGAGGTAAAATGTTGGGAACAATCGTTGATGAGATAATCAAAATTCATAACAAGAGCAGGAGTCCCTTCGGATTTACCATGCCCTTCATAATCAATCCCATAAACAGCAAAACCTGCTTTTGCAAGCCTTGTTCCTGTGCCTGCAATATATGTTTTCAACGTTTCAATCATCACCACAATGAAAATTCATGACTATATGCAATTCCATTAACTTCGATTCAAAACCGGAAAACTAAAAACGAAGGTTCAAAGGGTAATTGAGTAATTAATTACTGTTCATGGTGATACTGCATTCCATGGCGTAGCCATGGCAAATGAAGATTAAAGCTTTCGGACTTTCCTTAGCCGGAAGCCATCGGCATGTAAAAAGCTCCATCCCTCGAGAATTCGTTACGTATTCCTTAAAAATTGTAGAAAACATAACCACGTTACGTATTCTTTAATGTTTTTGTTTTCTTTGTTTTGAATATGAATAAAATTAATAAAAGATGTATTTATATGTTAATTGTTACCTCCTCGTATTTGATCTCATTGGTTCCACTGGCCTGCATAAACAAAAATGAACATCAAAGAAGATTAGTCATAATTGAGATATGATATTATATATATAGAGAGAGAGAAAGAGAGAGAGAGAGACCATGATTAGGGTTTATTTTTGTGGAGGAAGATGGTGAGAGGAAGAAGAGAGTGAAGTGAGAGAGAGAGAGGGAGAGAGAGATTGAGATTTGAGTGCATGAAATTTAGGAAATGAAATCACGTGAGTGTGGAAGAAGAATAACATTAGTTTCTGCATTTATAGAGAAAGTGCAGTGTTGTGATTCCATGAAATCATGAAACAAAGAATTTATTCATTTTTTCCTCTTCTAAGGGTCCACACAAAAACGTTGGCGTTTGGATGATTCATAATTCTACTTAATTAATAATTAATATGCAACTAATTATCATAATTATATACCAATATTTTCTTGATAATAGGGTTGGAAGAGAATTGGGTGGTATTAAGAATTGATTTAGTTTTTCAGTTGATAAGCCATACAATATATTTTTGTTTTTAACTCACACAAGATTTGGTAAACCAAAAAAAATGGTGGTTGAATGGATCATAGAACATGCAAAGAGGGTTTTCCATAGATATTTTAGATTATTATGCTGAATTAAGAGTAGAATAGACGTGTTTTTTTTCTTGAGTTTGAATCTTGGCATGAGATCACGTTTTAGTGTTCATTCACAAGCAACTTGGCATTAGTTTATTGGACATTTTTTAGGGTATGTTTGTTTTGACTCCTCTTAAGGGTCCTATCAATGAAAGAATCTCTAGAAGTGGAGGAACCACTTGTTGAAGAGCTTGCTACTATTGAAAACTATTAGTGGGGTACTCGTATAATCATAATATATATAATATTAAAATTTAAAAATAATTTTATCTATTAATTATTTCATATCATATTACTTGTATTTCTTAATTATAAACGTTGCGTTTTTAATAGGACACTTGAAAAGTAAATGAATGAAATAAAATTCATTATTGGGTCCATGTTGTTGTGATAGTTATTAAGACTCAAAAACCGTGTGTGAATGAGATAAGAAGAGAAAAAGGCAAAAGATAACGATGGAGAAAAAATATACCCTTCGAATCAAATATCTCTTTCCGTTATTTTCTCATTTATTTATCATTTATTATATGTCATGATAGTTTTATAAAATAACATAATAAAAAAATATAGAATCCTATTAATCAATTTTTTTATACACATACTAATTAATGCTTAAAACACTAATTAAGTAATTATAAAAATATGTTATAAATTAATTATATTAAAACTCATTAACAATATCATAAGAAACACTTTTCATTTATAATAAAATAATATTTTTTAATTCTTTAAATTATACGTTTATTGCACTTGTTAGCTTTTATCAAAGTAACTACTAATATATTTCATTTTTAATATATAAAAAAATAAACCTTTTTTACAGTTATTTATGTATGTACTTTAAAGTTGAGTTGTTGGTTTTTTCAATATTTGAATGTACTTGTCTGATACGTTGGGTGTAGGAGTAATTATTTTCTTTTTAATTTTAATTTTAATATATAAGCAAATGTTTCTGCTTTGACTAAATGTATTTCAAAAACACTTATTTTAAGTTTAAATAAATTACTTTTTCCTATCTAAATTTTAATTAAAAATAAAAACATACACTACACAAAAAAATGTCTATTATCAACTGTCAAAATCCGCACTCCCTTGAAAATAAAATATTTTTATTTATTATAATTCCTATTTATTTTTTATTATTACCTAGAGCCCCTCCTCCTCCCCTTTATATTATATTTATATTTATATATTTTATATTTATATATTTTGATATATTTACATATTTATATATTTATATAGATATACATTTATTTATAAATAAATATAACTTATTTGTAAGTTATTATCGTGAAGTATCAGTTTTCAACTTTAAGGATTGAGTTCGAATCCTATCAGTCACAATTATTTTAATTTAATATGATTTAAGAATAAAATTTCGTAGGTAATATCTGTATGTAATATATAATTTATCTACGGATTTTTATATGTAGGTAATATTTTGTACTAGACTTTTTTTAGTGATACCTCATGTTTATAATTTTCTAAGAAATCAAAACAATAAATTTCAATCTTATATTTACAATTAAATATTCTCAATTATCATATTCTTTAAATTGAATTAATTTATTTTGTATATGAAAACATGTAAGTAATATATAAAATCCAATTATAACTTTGATATTATCATATTCGAAATAATATTTTTTTCAGTTGAATAAAAAAAATATAATAATAATAATAATAATAATATTTTCATTTTATTAATTTAAATATAATAATATTAAATAAAATATCAAAATATTTTAGATTTAGCTGATAACAAATGGATTCACATATTAAAACAAGTGAGTTTTGAGTTAGAAATATAGAAATATTCGTAAGGATTGGAGTGGAACATGAATTTATAATCTTTTGAAAATACGAATATTTAAAATCTTAGAAGACTGGGTAAATATTTTTATGTTTTTTAATTTTTTTCTATTTTATCTTATTATATCATACTAGTAATTATACGCATAAATAATAATAACAATGTGTACCATGTTAGTCTCAACATACACACGTATTTAAAAGACAAAGTCCTTCAATAAATCCAAACACGATAATATAAATAAACGTAAATTTTAATATAGAAAAATTAATAAATTAACAATGTGTTATAATATTATTGATGAAGTATATGTTAATAATTTGTTATTATTTTTCTTACCTTTCTAATAATATAATCGAAATATAGATACATAAGCGCCACCAGTTACAAGAATACGTACATTTCTACTATTTATTACAATTACAGTTCATCTAAAATCATACGTGAAGTGTAATTTGAGTATATTAAAACAGGATAAAAAAAATATTATTTTCTTTTGATATATATAAACATAATAATAAAATTTGAACAATAAAAGGAGGTGATGTCCTCAGTAATAATAATAGTGAACATGGCTAATAAAACTAAAAAAAAATTCCTTTATTAGGTTATTTCTAGAAGTAATCCATAAATAGACATGCAGAGTGGAAAGGAGGAAGGGGAAGAACATGTGAAATTTGGAATTCAAAGAAAAACAGCCACGGACATGTTAATTGTTGAACTGTCAAATAACTCATTTTAATGCATTCCCATTTCTTCTACACGTCACATTATTATTTTCATAAAAAAATTATAAAAAATATTGAAAAAAATGTTTTATTTTTTTATTAAAAATGTTTGAGGAGAATGAAGAGTGACAGAGAGAGGAAGTAAAAGTTGAAGGGAGTGTAATTTTTTGTGGCTTGGTAAAGGACGGCACCATGTTGACTAAGATAACACGAGGCACTTGTCATCCTCATTATTCATCTTCAATTTAATTTTAATGGATGAGGAAGCCACGCATGTCTTTATTCTTTTGGAATTTGCGTCGCTTTTTTTTTGGCCGAAGAAGACGAGTCACAGCTCAGAATCACCACATCAAGTTTTGGCGTAGCCCTAATCCACGAGAGAGACAACTCACAATTCCCAATCAAAACATTTTTTTTTTCAAATGGAAAATGCCAAAATCAAACCAAATCGATGTATTAGAAGATAACACTTTCCCACACAAATCAAACTCTGGGCTTTTCATGTCGTTTTAGTTTAATATTTGATTTAATTTTTTTTTATTAAACTATTATTTAATAACTTTAATTATATAACCCATTATAAGCTCATTTTTATACAATGGTTAACTCACTTTAGCAATTCTATTACGTAACTATTTTCTTCATATGTATGTTTTCCTTATTTTAATGGTTAGTACACCACGATATTAACAATATATTTACGAGTTTTTAGAATAAAGTTTCAAGTAATAAATTCGTATATAAATCAGATTTTTTTAACGGAAATAATTATATATAAAAAAATTACTTCAAGGGACAAATTAGTAAAAAGAATAAAGAAGCGGAAAAAGTTCAGGTTTCTGTCTTCCAATTTGACACTCCATAACAAAATAAGCATAGCATCGGGGTATCACACATGGAAAATTTGGACTCGGCCCGATATACAGTAAAGTGGGCCTCGTCCTTGAGAGTTCCTAATCCAGCCCAAGAAAACTTTGGGCCCATTTAAAACCCCTTCGGGCTTAATCAGAAATAACACTCTATATAACTAAAAAACCCTAACTCAAGCTTCTTCTCTGTCATTTACGCTAGGGTTTACTACGAAGAGTCGCAGCCGTAGCAGAAGCTCGCGGAATAGTAGCAATGGGTAATTTCCAGAAGCATTATTCTCTGTACCTTGTTGTTAATTGCTGTGACTGAAAGCATTGTATGTGCAGCGAGGATTAAGGTTTACGAGCTGAGGCAGAAGACAAAAGCTGATCTCTTGAATCAGCTGAAGGACCTCAAGGCCGAGCTTGCCTTGCTTCGTGTTGCTAAGGTCACCGGAGGTGCCCCTAACAAGCTCTCCAAGATGTAAAATTCCAGTTCTCTGTCTAATTGGTGGTTTGTCTTTCAGTTTTGTTTTTTGCGCGTGAGGTGTTTGTGTTTATGTCTTATTTAATTTGGGGCTGCAGAAAGGTGGTGAGGTTGTCGATTGCCCAGGTTTTGACGGTGATTTCTCAGAAACAAAAGGCTGCGTTGAGGGATGCCTACAAGAAGAAAAAGTACTTGCCACTTGATCTCCGTCCCAAGAAGACCAGGGCTATTCGCAGGAGGCTCACTAAGCACCAGGTAATGCCAATTCCATTTGTTCTTCCTTCAATGGAACTCCTGACTTTTATTCAACAAAAGTATGTAGCCTAATGTGCTGGCCGTCCTTCGTTTTTAATAAATGGATTACATTGATTTTTGCGTTTTTGTAGTCATTGCCATTGCTGAATTTTTGAGTGATCTCTAAGATGAGCAACTTCTATATGTTGTTTATTCGGCTAGGGTCTTTTTTCTATGTATGCTTGTGTGCATAAGAATTGCTCTTGTCTTGTTCAAGTTCCAATTTCACATCCTGAATGCCCTTTGGCACTGTTTTGTTAGAGGGAAGTCCAGTGAAAAATTACTCCTGATAATGTTTGGAAGTGGGGGATGTGTTTATTTTGCTTCCTCTCTTTGAAGCAAATTGTCTGTCGTTGTAATTCGGATTTACACTGGCCGTATTAAAATACCAATTTTATACCACGGTCTTGTTAAAGAGGAATGTTGTGTGTTGTTGAAATGTGTATGTTTGAATTACCCTTGTTAAAATTGTCTATCCATGTTAAGGGTCTTTTGTTAGATTGAAAGTCAGCGGCTCAATCGAAGGTTTTGGATCTATTTGATCTTAATTGCTACTTTCCAAATGCAAAGTTAAAATTGAGTTTGTTTTTTAATTAATATTTTGAAATTATTAGCTTTTGGATTTGAGGTGATAAAATTTGTACAAAAACCTAAGCAAAAATTATACTCTTATTTTATCTACGAAAATTATTTGAGGGAAAAGAAGGAAAAACAGGAGGATTAGTTTTGTTCTTAAATGCCATCTCTGATATGACAATTTTATTAGCCTTTTCAAATAATAATTTTAGATTGACATGATTGGTGGGAATGCCTTATACTTTTTATAATTGTTGGTGCTGGATAATAGTTGTTGCTCATGAGCTTTCTCATTTCTTATTCATGCAGGCCTCTTTGAAGACAGAGAGGGAGAAGAAGAAAGAGACCTATTTCCCAATGAGGAAATATGCTATCAAGGTGTAATATTAGAGCAGATCTTATATCAATTTGACATTTATCTATTTTATACTTACCAGTTTTGATTCATCCCGCAATTTAGTTTCATGATGGAGTTACTGTTTATTGCCTATGTTAAACTTCATGTTGGGGTTCTTGAAGCTACTAGTATCATTTATGCGCATTTTCAAAATTTATGCATTACAATTGTCATTTACTTTAATCAAACCTTTACATCCACGTGTACTTTTACAATGTATGCACACATCATTTGCATTCATGCATTTATGACTTTCTACCAAACTGTAGATATCTCGCTCTCCCAGGTAACTTCCTATGGCTTATTTTTGTAGTAAATTTCATTCGGTTGATTCAAAAGTAAAAGTAAACGACAGCGTTGAGCAAAATACCCCTCCCTAACTTTTTTTATTGCACCTATTTTGTTTATGATATTACCACTTTCTGCGACTCTGAAGATACTTAACTAAAAGAAATTTGGTTTTTTAACCAAACTTCCTTACATTTCATGATTCCAGCAACCAACCTTAAAGAAATAAAGACATCTTACTTTGTAAATAAGAAATATGTAAATTATAAATTATTAAACATTTGTTTAAATGATGTTAATATCAAAGTAGTTAAATAAATTGATTCTGAAACACTAAATTCTTCATACAAATCATGTTTTTAAACTGCTATAGAAGTGCTTAACCATCATCTAAAGATGCATAAATGATTATCATAATGATGTGAGATTTGATTTTAGAAATTAACTTCTTTTTTTATTCAGATGCTTCAAACGTTAGTAATGATAGTCTTCTATTTGGAATGAAAAAAGAATAAAAGATAAACGGAATTGGGTTTTCTATACATGTAAAAATCAACTTGTTTTTTTGAACGCAAGTCAAAATTAAATGTTTGTTTGATTTATTTTCAAGTTAAAAAACATATTTGATAACTAAAGTTTAAAAACTTATTTAAGATAATGCGGATGATAAATTTGTATAACTTGATAATGGTGAAAGCATATGATATAATTATTGACTATTAGTAAAAATAAAAATATATTTTATTAGTTTTGAAAGTGTAGTTGTCCAAGCATGATCACAATTGATGGGCAAAACAATCCAAACAAAGAAGTACACAAACACCAGACCAAAACCATTGTGCCACTAGTAGTACTACAGTCTTTATAAGTTGTCTAAATTTCTTGCATGTGAACTCCATAAAACTCTCTGCCTCGTCCAAATTCTTTCCATGTGAACTTCACAAGCAACTCATCACATATTGTTTCAATATGACATAAAACTATCGAATTTTTAATATAGATTCATATTGTTTTATCTAATAAAAATGTTTTAAAATGAGAGTAAAATTAAAATATTTAATCTGGTAAATTATTTCAACGATCCGAATTTTAGGTTATGACCATGTAATTTGAGACATACCAACTAGTTCAATAGCTAGTTTACAATCAATTACTTAGCTTATCAAGTTTCAATATCTGACTAATTTCTTTCAACTAGACGAAAACTTTATTAGTGTATCCATTTGAAATTATCACATTAGAAAAAAAAAATAGCCTTGTTTTCTTTTCATACTACATATAATTAAAGAATAGTCAAAGACAAGGACTATAACAGAGTAAATTTAACACGGGACGTATATAATTCTCTTGCTTGAACACCACATTTATATAACGCAAAAATAAAATTATTAAGAAAAGGCTGCCAGACCTGAAGTTAACTATATTTCAAACATGAATAAGAATAACTTCTGACAACGAAAAGTGTCATAACCACAAAATTGACTATGTTTACAGAATTCAATAAGTATGTTAGTACAAATCGAATTAAATAACAGACAAATTAAACCTTCTTTCTTGAATGTGCTTGATGTAATAAGAATGGTTCCAAATGGATTGCTAAATGCATATGCAATGAATCTTAATTAGGAACCATTCGATCTACTGGCCTACAAATGGATTGCCAACCTGCACACAATTGGAGGACCTCTCTGAGAGAATGTGCAGCAGGTTCCATTGTCCATGTTGGGTAATATTCGCTAGGATGGAACATGGACACTTCTTTGTTTTCTGTAAGCAAGCATGGCTGAGCACCATTCAGAAACATGTCTCCTTCGGATACTATGAAGCCAGACTTTTGCTCTTCCTTATCTGCCGCCTAGGGAAACATTTTTATCACAAACATTAGTAGGCATGGGATGGGGTATAATGTGCTGCCAGATATGGCTGAATTAAAAAGTAAAAACTAATTATTTCTGGACATCATCCCAGACCGGGTCACAATCACACAACTATGGATTTGTCAAAAAAACTACACCGACACTGAATATTTGAAGAAGCACTCACAATTATTCACATTTCTAGACTTAAACCATAACTACACAAAATATTCATGACTCAAAATCAGAGATACTATAATAAAAGCAACAATAATCTTGTTTAGTAGTGGAAGTCCCTTACACAGATCACACAAAGCCATTGCGTTCAGTTTAAAACCAAAATAGAGCTTTGATTTATATAATGATGACTTTTGTGAGTTACAGGAATGAAAATCTAATTTTAATTGAATAACAACCCGAGTGCACCTACCGAATTGCATTTAAGTGTATTCCTTAGAGTAAAACAGCAAACGTGAATTGAAGAGAAATATTTTACCTTCTCGGAATAAAATTCAAAGGTCTTTTTCTTAGTTCCCGCTTCATATATGTTACATTGAGAGTATATCTGTAAAATGATTTTCAAGAAATCAATCACTCTCCTAAATCTTGCACAGCACTTAGATAGCAAAAAATAAAAATAAAAAAATCCACAGATGATAGCAGCACGCTCACCTGGGATTCCACACTAGCACAAACAGCATATATGCCCCAGTTTCTGGTGTAATTGTTGTACAGATGAACTTTTCCAAATCTCACACGAGGTTGTCTTTGGCGTGTTCCATCAAAGAAACAGTGGTGAATGGTCACCCGGATGCATCTATCACCAACGTGAGTCGGGTCAGCTCCAATGAGCATGGTCTTGTCATGCTGCCCAAAGCAACACCTAGTGCCACAAAGCCAAGTAACTCATCACATTTGACCAACGGATTCACCTCCTCTAAATCGAGATAGACCAAAGTATTCCATCAATGGTCCATGTCAAAACATACTAAAAGCAACTAATAATTGCTTGTTTCAGTGACGTGCCTCAGTTATGTGGAAGAGGATCCAAACACACATTCAGTCATTAATGAAACAATCAACTATTGATAGTATAACAAATCATGGATGAGTTGAAAATCAAATCAAACATGAATTTTCTTATCAACAACTGAGATTACTCACCTTACATTTACTCACTTTGAAAGAATCGAATATGTGACAAACCACTATTGCAGTTCAATTCATTCAAAATGTAAAATTTCTCTCAAAGGATAGTAAATAATCTCAATGCATGTAGAGAAATTCATCTGCGATCTATATAATATATAAGTCTAACTAAACCGTCTCGGCAAAACATACAAAACACAACTAACATTTTCTTCAATGACATGCGTCAGAGTTGTGTGGATGGGAGTCCAAACACAGGGTCAGCCTTCGAATAAGAAAAACAAAAAAATCAACTACTAATATTACATGCACATGCATAACAAGGCATGAATATGTTAGAAAATCAACTATTGATATTACATGCATTTGCATAACAACACATCATCTATCAATCTTCTCATCCATTATTGATATTACTTACTTTTTACCCTCACTCACTTCACAGGAGTCAAACCACTGTTGTAATTCAATTAAAAATGGAGAAAATGAGCCCACCTAGACACGGTGATGTCTGTGCTTTGTCTTGTAATGTCTATAAGGCCATCGTCGTAATCACGAAGGCTGCATCGATCGATCCATATATGCCTAGAATTTGGTTTGATTTGAATACCATCAACATCATGACCCCTACCACCCTCAAACTCAAGGTTGCACACGATGATGTGCTCACATTCCTTCAGTCTCAAACCCTTCCCAGTCAACTTCACCCTCTGTCCTCTCCCATCTATTGTCTTATACGATGACACACTCAGGAACGACGACAAATGAATCGTGCCAGAAACCTCAAAAACAATCCATAACGGTTCAACTCTACGACATCCCTCACGAAGGGACCCAGGACCATCATCTGAAATCAATCATTCATCCATCATAAGTCAATTTTTTATTCTCTTAATTTTAGTAACCATTAAATATAAAATGGTTGAAATCGGTGCGACAGGATCGCTGGAGAGATAGAGATCATAAGTCATTCATCTCTATTCAATCAATTATTAGTTGAATCACATTTTTAAAATTAAATTAAATTAAATTGAACGCAGAAAATGAGATCATAAGTTAATGTGCCTGCGAGTGTGGTGACGAGATAGAGAGAACCGTGGAGGCCGCCGATTGCGTGGCGGCCGAAACCCTCGGCGCGGCCGGCCATGTCCCTCAATTTGGAATCGACGTCGCCGTATGGTAGCATCTGAATCCCCGCCATTGAAACTTCACCCTTCAATTCCTCCCTCTCACTTTCCTTTTTCTCAAAACTAAACAACGAAATCAATCATTTAACATTTATATTAATAAATTACGTTTTTCAATTACAAATTGTGATGAATTATTCTTTTACTAATTTTAGTAATAATTATCTATTTTATGCACTAAATAAACTAAATATTTTCTTCATGAAAACTTAGAATACTATATATACTTGTAAATTGCAGTACTTTGTCAAATTCATGATATATAAATAACTTGAGCGATCTAACTACGTTTATAAATAATTTAAATTATAATATAAAATTATTCTAAATATTAATAATTTTTCTAACATATTGTAAGACTAAATTTACCGATAAATATAGAAGATGTTTGTTTAAATATAATTTAATCACTTTATTATGACCAAATACTTTTAATTAGTATATATAAGAACTAAATTATATTTTAATAATAATATATAAAAACTTATTTTAAAAAATCATATTAAGAAAAAAATACAGTCAACATATATATTCTGGTATAATATGAATAATTAATTAAGTCCTCTACAGCATACGAGAAAATTCATTGAATTTATTATTATGATTTTATTTAAAATTTATTTTATTAAACTTTTGTGACTACTTACATTATTTTGTTTATAATCCTAAATAGTAAAATATAATAATTTTATTCAATAAAATAAGAGATAGAAAATATATAAAAAGATAATACACATAAAAGGAATTAAAAAAAATGGAAGATTTGTATGCAAAATTAATAAAATTAATAATATCAAATTTATGATGAAAAATAGATTTCGTTGTGATTTTTTAAAATTAATATACTTAATTTAATTTAAAAATAATTAATTTTAGATAAAAAAAAATTAGAGTCCAACCCAATGTATTAAGTCAAGTCAATTTTCGACGTATGTATATATTTTGCACCACATGCAAACTAACATTATATTTTTGTTATTCATATAAAATTGTTATTTTTAATTTTCTCTATATAGTTAATATTTGCTTAACTATTTATTTATTTGCATTTAATTATTTATTTATTTCCGTCTAATCCCTTTTGCATTTACATTTGAAATAGTTTTTTTAAAATATTTTTTTAGTATTTTAAAAAAATATTATAAATTAAATTATTGATTATGAATTTAAAATATAATTTATATATTAAGTATATTTCTTATTGTAAATTAAAATTCTTATAATTTATATATTAAAAACAATTTTTTTTTCTTAATGTAAAAAAAAAATACTAAAACTTTCCTTCTTCTTTTTTTTTCAATAAAGGTGTAAGTTTTGGGTTTAAATTCACCAAATCGATAAAATAAAAAAACTAATAAAATAAACAGGTCTGAAATTTCTTTCAATAAATGCTTGGATCTAAAAGCCTAATCTTATACCTCAACATAACCATTAAAATCTTCTAATTTGACAGATTAATGAATAGTTTTAAAATAAATTTAAATCAATGAATATATATTTTACTTAACATTAGGGGCCAAATTTGAGATTTGATTAGTATTTAATTAGGTGAAAGAACATTCAAGTTAATTAAAATGGAAACAAAATTGGTACCAGGCAAACCACTCTACCTAATTCCCTGGGTTGTACACCTCAAATTTAATTCACGATTAAAATTATTGTAAGCGAAAATTTTCTTAAAATAATTAAGTTAAGATTTTATATCCTTAAATCAAAATAATTAATTTTACAAAATATTTGAACTCGTACTTTTATTTATTTAGTTATTTAAAAATTTTATTTGTAGTTGTTATTATTATATCCAAATAGTTAGGTTCATCTATATTGTACTATTTGAGGATAGCTCTGTAGATTTTGTTATGAAGTGAGACTTTGACACTAATAAGTTGACCAAATTTTATAATAAATACCCGTACGGATTTAAATAAAGAAGAAAGAGAATAGATAAGAATTAAACCACTAATAATACACAACAACTAAATTCAAAGCATATTCCTCATAAAAGAAAAAATGAGTAAAAAATCTTGTTGGATGTTAGTGGTTGATTTCACTCCACCAAAATTATAATTGCCGACATTTTTTAGTCGCGTAGTAATAGTATTATAAATATTTATAAATTATATTATTTTATGGCTAATTAATCTGAATTAGTGAAGAGATATGTTTATGAGTCCTTTTATAAATATTTTAAAGAGAAAAAAATATTTTTTATAAATAAAATAGAAACTTGATAAAACCTCTAAATTAACAAAACCTTGTTATTATAATGTATTAGTTAATTCTTTGAAGTGGGAGTGGATGCATGGACTTGGTTCATATGTATTGGTTTATTAAATATGCAATTTTATTAATAATGAGTCCCATTTAAAACAAAAATTCTAATTGTTACTATTGTTATTAATTGAGTTATTAATTGAAAATAACTAAAGATATTTAAATATTTTCATATGTAATTAAGATAAGAACAAAACAAAAATTAAAAAATAAATAAATAACAATAATATATAAATAAAAAATTTATAGATTATGTTATGATCGACATTGAATTTGATAATGATATCGATCAATGTATTTGATACAAAAATTTATTATTTTTTATTTTTAGCAAGTGTTGTCATGTCATTTTTTAAATTTAAGGCAATTTTCTTTTATAAGAAGATTAAATTTGAGAATTTTATTGTAAAAGTATTGTTAGATTTGAAAGTTCTTCAGTTGGATTTAGAAATTTGGATTTAGAAATTTGAAACTCGGTTGAAGATCAAGAATTTATTGTTCAAGGTTTGCACATTTGGCTTTCTCTTCAATCAAAGAGATGGGCAAAATGTTAATAATTGAAATGAAGTTCAAAAACATGAGCAAAAGAGTAAAATACCTCAATGGGAGATGGAAAAAAGGAACTAGTGTAGATGGTACCTCAAGCAAGGAATTTAAGTTACTTGAACTATTTGTCGAAGTCACCATTTGAAAAGAAAATATGTCATTAGTTTTGTATAAAGTAAGGCAATTGATGGAAAAAAATATATATACCTTTTAATTATCAGAGCTAGAATTGATAATCATTCCTAGTTGAATGGAAACATCCATAACAGAAGGCGTTGATCCCTGTAGTAGTAAAATCGAAAATTGATTTAGTGAATTAATTGAAATAAAAAATCAGTACATCTGAATCAATATGACATCTTAGGACGAGGACATTAGTGAAAATTGGTGTAAGTGTGTTTTTGAAATGGATTTAAGTTGCTTCAAGTAAATTAATTTGAGGATTTCAATGTTTATTAAGAGAATGTTCACTTATCAAGACACTTCATATTCTCTTAGGGAGTTATTATGTTATTGGCAAATTTACAAATATATCGAAAGAATAAATTAGAAAAAATATTGAAGTTAAAAAAAATTGATAATTGAGATGATAAAAATTGAGAAGGTAAAAATCGAGTTGAGATGTTAAAAATCAAGAGGATGACAATCGATATTGATAGTACAAATAGAGATCAAGATGGTAAATATCGATAAGGTGAAAATTAAGATTGATGACAAAAGTTGAGATCGAAATGATAAAAATTGAGAGGGTAAAAATCAAGATCAACATAGTCAAGATCGAGAGGGTGAAAATCGAGATCGAAATGATAAAGATTACGAGGGTTCAAAAAATTAAACATATAAGAAATCCAGGAGTTAATTGAGAGATTTAGAGGAAATTGATGGAAACAAGTGATCAAATTGTAAATCTAAGAATCAAACCATTAAAAGTTCATATTAATCGAAAGGAAAATCAAAATGAAGGTAAGATGGTTAAGGAGAATTGAAGAATTAGATAATCGAGGATTCATAATGATCGAAAGGAAAAAAAAAAGACAAGACAAGACAATAATCAAAGAGCAAAAAAATCGAAGGTTCATAATGATTGGAAAATCGATAAACAAATTGGCAGAAAAGAATAATGTCATCGATTGTAAATAGAAAACTTAGAGAAATCGAGAAAGAGAAGGAATAAAAAAACATTTATACAATTGTAGAAGACAATGAATTGAGAAGGAGTTATATAATCGAAAGGTATGTATAAGTGATTATAATTTCACTATGTGACATGAATTGTTACAAGTATTATGTGACAATGAAACTACTCGAGAAAATAGGAAAAAATGTTTAACAGGAAAGAAAACCGTTTTTTATTTTATTCTCTTAATGGTTACACAAAATAAAGTATAAATACGATGAAATAATTATAATTAAGAATGACAAATTATAATAAGACACTTACATTCTAAAAAAAAACTATGGACAAGGAAATACTATTTTAATAGAATTCTTTACAATTTGGGTCACCGTTTTCATTGAATTTTTTTATCAGTTTCTTTTAAAAAACAATTTATTTTACCACTCATCCTACACATTTATATTTTCAACACTTTATGTTTCTCGCACTTTTCTTTAATGTTTGGATTAATATTAAAAATCCAAATCATAAAACCAAAATTTATAATCAAAAACTAAGTGAACGGATTTTTCCCGCTTACCATTATTTTAACATAAACTTTCATACATAACATATTGTATGTAATATTTGCACAAGTAACACACTTCTATAAAAAGTCAACATTTTAGATAAAAAATCAGCCCAATATATTAAACCCATATTATATATATATATATATATATTTTTTTTTTTTTAATTTTTATTTATATAATTATATCAAATCAATATAAATATTTTTTTACATATCATAAAAATATATTTATATAATTATATTATTAATATATTTTTATAAATATAGTAGATACAAATATATTTAATATATATATATATATAATATTTAAATATTTATTTATCTTTTTATAAATATAATAAATACATGTATATTTATATATTTAATAAATATATATTTATATCTTTCTATATACATAATAATATAAATAAATTATATATATATATATATATATATATATATAAGAATAAATAATATTTCTTTTATAAAAATATATAAATATTTTTATTATATTATAATATGTTTGT